ATATTTTATCTCTGGTAGAATACAGAAATATGATATCTTCGCTGGAAATTATTTAAAAAAATTTTTAAAAGACCTATCATTTCGAAAAATTACCAAACACTTAGGTTTAGCATATCATTTATAAGTCGGGTTCTTAAGCACTTTCAAAAATATGATGTATTGAAAAGCTTCCGTCACTTTCAGAACCACGTTCACTGAACATGAATGATACAAAATATTTTAAAACTTTAATGAAAAAAATATATGTATTATTCTGGTTAGATGTTATGACAATTTGAAGGGCTACGAACCAACTTGTATATACAAATAAAGTAATATTTATTTATACATATACAGGATCTTCTTTTAACAGTGCAATATGTTTATTATAAAAGTCTAATTAATATGTAGTGCATTTTTTATATTTCTTGTTAGGACTTAATTGACACATTAAACATGTTGGATAAATAATGTTGACATTTATTGTTACAACGGTCTGTAAAACAGTCAATATAAAACAAAAGTAGTTTTTATTATACGGGCTGAAAAATCATTCGGCCAATTTTTACAGGTGTCCCAGAATTATGATACGTAATAGTTGTAAATCATCACGCCCGCAGGATTTTTTATTATGTATCGTGCAGATATTTGTCTTTCTGTTCACGATATCTTTGTATGTATGGTTCCACGACTGCTTTACCATTGTAAGTACCTTAATAAACATAAAAAGGGAAACACCGATAGAATCTGCAGACACGCAGTAGCAGTGGATAATCGTATAATACAGTATATAGTATAGTTATTGATTCTCGTGGCATGCTATGAGAATTTCGTAAAGGAATAATTTAGTTGAAATGTTTTATTATTGTATATTAGTATTTAGAGATAGAACCGATCAAAGATAGAAACATATTCCCATATGTTTTTTATAGATATGTAAATAAAGTTTTCGATCGAGTAATAATAATTTAACTTCTACGATGAAATTTCATCAGAATCTTTTATTATTAAGAAAAATTTTATATTACAAAGCGAATTTCATAAAAACGGCCTTTTTAACTAGCTTGACATTTATAATTAAATATGTAGAAATTTTTGATAATTACGTATTTAATTATAGGTCAAAAGTAAGTTAGAAAGCCATTTTTTGAAAAATTATTTCCGATTTCACCATTGACAGTCGCCAACCATCGTTCAATGACCAACCCATCTCTAATTTTAACAAACGGTAAAAAGTACTTCTATTATTGATTTTTATTGTTTAGTTATATTTGGATCAGAATACTGTGTTATCATATTTATAAATTGTACTATATATATGTTCTGCGTCAATCATGGATTTTGTCGACTCGAATGATTCTTTAATTCACCGATTAAAGAATAATTAAGTCGATTTTTAATGTAACTGTCAAACTTTTAATTCATATTCACTAAAAAATCTTAATTAATATTATGTTTTACGTTAGTTCTTTATATGGTATTACTTTAAGGGTCCATAGTGCTTTTTATACTGAGCTATTATAAAATTTGAAATTATTGAATTCGTATATCCAGAGTTCGTTATAGAGGTCCGTTATACAGAACCGACAGTTATAAAAAAGGTTTGAATAATTTATTAAGTTCGTTAAAGTTAAATAGTTTAAAAAAGATCGTTAAATTATCTAAGAAAATATTCGGCAAAAAATTTATTACGTGATATAAAAAATAAGTGGTTTATCAAAATTAATATCATTTGCTTCGATTTTATTTGCCTTCATAAATTCTTTACAGATACTTTCATCTTTTATATCAGAGTAATTAAAATATCAACTACGTTTTACATAGTTATCTTCATTAATCCTACATAACAGTTAGGGGGACTTTTGGAAGAATGCCATTACAAATATCAACTACCAAATGTGCACCATGTTGGCAATTTGATTCTTATTCCAAAACTGTTATCTGAATCAACGACTTTTGGGATTATGTCATGAAAATTTTTTTGAAAACTTTAAAATGTGGGTTTGCTAAATAATAAAATTGTTGCCAGAGTGAAAATCTCTGTGTACAAATCCTGATTTATGAATAATGTTTAGACCATCAGATAAATCAAATAAATAGGAAATTTAAAACCAATTCGGAAATTAGATTCAATTTTGGTTACCGAAACCCAAGTTTGAAATATGATGACTATTTTTTAATAAAAGAAAAATAAAATCTTTTTTAAAATATATGTAAACTTTATTAAGGTTTTATCAATTATCGTTAACCTGAACATTAGACATTAAAAAGTAATCATCTTTAAATGTTTATTAATAAATCAAGTCATGTAGTTATTTCCTTGATGGATTTAATAAATTTAAAAATAAGACTCATTTTACGTAAATAAAAATCTAGTTCACAATGAAAGTCATCATATTGTAAACAAAATTACATTAATAAAAGATACTATATATGTAGTATATGACTCGTCGCTATGTGCCAAAGGATCTTAATACGTATAAAGCCCATGTTGCACAAATATGCAAGGGTCGTAGACCTTGCAAAAACCTCCATTCAATCATCTACATAATCATAAATACCCCTGTTGTTTTTTTAATACGTATATGCATTAAAAATACCTTTATATAGTCACATTTTATTATATCGACATACAGTATACTACAGCACTAATTTACGAACAAAAATTTATCTGAGATAAGCTTGCGTAGAATTAACCGCAGGTTGAATGATTAAACTGACAAGATCTGCTCAAACGATAAAAGGTCAGAATAGTAGAGTACACAAGAAAGTTAACAAAGAAAAATAAAAAAAAAGTAAGGTATAAAAATGGTCATATACATACAATTGCCCATTGTCAGACAGGCATGAATTAGAAAAAAGGACCAGGTCTTACTTATTATATTCTTTGTATTTCCGCATTTTTGCGAGCCCCGCATAAGATCCCACGTTCAAAAATGGTATCGGTATTACATGAATACAAAGACATTTTACATTCATTAATCATGTGACATTGCATTATACCGGCATAAGATAGTTTTGCAAATTCCGAAACAAGAATACGTGAATTAATACAAATTAAGTGTGAAATTGAAGCCACTTGTAATACAATAATGCAAGGTATGCAGAATTATGCAGTATAAATCTTTTTTTTGTTATTCCTGCGCGCGAAAAAAATGAAAAAAAAATTTTTGAATAAAAGATTATAACGGTCTATACAAACATAAAACGTTAAAACATGTGTTATATCATGTGTAGAATACACTATGCACTGAAAATCTATCCAGGAACTAAGCATTATTTAATGTGATTTCACAAGTTATTCCATAAAAATTATTGTTTTATTATGTATCTATACAATTGTTTTTAATACTTTGTTACATCTAGATTATATCTAATCGATTGACATACAGTATCATCATACTTGTATACTTTTAACTACTATATCAATTTATCTATAAATACCGATGTCAAAATTTTATCGGTACTTTTCCGATACCGATAACTAAAAAACTAAAAAATTTCATTTAGAACAAATTGTATATTTTATTAAATTAAAATTGTATTAAACAATGGAAATCGAAAATCTTCCAGTTAATCTTTCAACAGTAACAACATCTATGACATCGACAGATAGTTTATTAAGCTTTTCAAATAGTAATGATTTTGTTATACAATCTCAAAATGGTTCAGGAGCTGATAGTTTACTTGATAGTTCTTTGCAACTTGGTGCTGCTTTTGAAAGGCGTGATCCTATCTTGCAACTTGGTGCTGCTTACGAAAGGCGTGATTCGGTCGATTCAACAGGTTTCTCGTTAAGACCTAGTTATAAACAAAAGTACGTTATATGAAGATATTGAAAGAATCATTATTGTTTTTCGTTTTAGTTTATGCTGGCTGGCTGGTTGATTGAAATTTTTTTTTAAATTTTTTTTAAATTTTTTTTTTTTTTTTTTTTTTTTTTTTTTTTTTTTAAAATAGATTTTAACCATCTACCGTGAAATATATTATTCATACGATCGTTTACTACCGGTTAAATAACATTTTTTATGACAAAGATCAAGCTCCAGGTTGGGCCAACGAAATTTCCAGAGAAATTAAACAAAAATTGTTGGGTAAGCTATGTTAATAATTATTAAATTTTTCATCAAAATACTTTGCATATTAACATATAATTTTATTTAGATTTAGAACTTAAGCAATACAAATACGTCGTTAACGTAACGATTATGGAAAATAAAGCGGCTGGTGCTAGGTTAGCTAATTCAAATAAAATACATAATGATCTTTTGGTGGTAGTTGAATTGTTTCGATGGTGTGAATAGTGACACATGTTTATATGCGTTTATATGCGTTTATATGCGTATAACATGTAGCAGGACTATATATGCCATTTTTTAAAAAATTTAAAAATTGAATTATCGGCATAAGGCCATACAAAATTAATTCATTGGTTTTCAATTTGGAAGCTTTAAAGGAATTTTTGATATGTTTTAATAACCGGGTGGGTTTTAAAAAAAACTTTTTATGTAAATTTTATAAAATTTTATATATGAATATGAAATTTAAAAAAAAAAAAAAAAGCCGGCTGGCCGGCAAGTCTATTTAAAAGTTTCGTGTTATGAAAACCAAGAAATTAAATTTTGTATGGCCTATTTTAAAAGAAAGCATGTTAAATAAATTTCCATTTTGAAAATTACTGTATGCACATTATACATATATATATTTTTTTTTTGTATTTTTTTTTCATTAATAGGATCCAATTAGCTTGTTCTTGGGATATGGATACCGATAATGTTGCATATGTGACCTTTAAAAATGTATGTATCTTCCTTTCTTGTATAATATTTGTCAATTTTCTTTCATTTGAATGAAATAATAAAAAAAAAACTTGTTTGTATGTACGTAGGATTCAATCGTATGCTTGATTATGGTTTTTGGTGTATATTTTTATTAAATTGTCAACCTGTAAAATGTGACATTGTAATACAGATATCGATACAGTAGTTGATACAGTAGTTGATGCAGTAGTCGATATAATAGACTTACGTACGTACGTACGTACGTACATATCTGAGAAATTCCGTATCATCATTACTTTATTTCATTATGTAATGTCATCATTTTATTTCATTATGTAATGTCATCATTTTATTTCATTATTTTATATCATTACTTTATTTCATTACTTTATATCATTACTTTATATAAATAAATCACCTTTCTTAAATTGATTATGAGCATCAAAATCTTGGGGGCCAATAGTGCATTACGATTATCTCTAATTTTGATTATCAACGATATACCAATATGTACATACGTACATATGTACAAGAGCAAGCAATACTTATTACAGTATCAAACCAATCTACTTTTGCATATCACAAAGAAAAAAAAAAAATTTCATTATGTAAATCATTACATGCTACAAAAAAGAATCTTTATTTAAAATATACAATCACTCTTTCCATTTTCCCACATTGACTTTCAGATTTTGCTAGATTCCAATCACTTTCATTTTTTAATTTAATCCAAATTCCTCGGCTATTTCTAAACCAAGTTTTATTCCACTGTTTATTTTGGAATCTTCTCGAAATGAATAATCGGAGATGATAAAATGTGCCATTAACGGGATAGAAAATCGCTCGTTTTTCGGTTGCAAAAATACATGTGACATATACCTTTATAGTTTAAGATAAACGTGAAAAACAATATGTATAGTAAATTATCATTGTAGTTATATGAAAATCCACTATAACAAATTTAAAAATTTTTACCTCATTTAATTTTAGTTCAGATGGTGTCGTAATAGTACCACTTGATTGTATTGTAACTTGAGTACATGTACCATTTTTATGACCAATCATAACTTTAGGTGAATGAAATATACCAATTTGTTTCTATGTATATATTTGATTAATTATAGAATTATTAACGTTAATGTAGTAGGGTAACAAAGAAGAAATATAAATGTACAAATATTGTAAAATTATTAATCAGTTTTAATATAGTATTACCGGTAAATTTTTCCATTTCATTCGACTCAATTTATTGATTTCAGTTTTCACATTTTGAGCATAATAATAATCTACTGAATTCAATGGTCTTAAACAGAATGATATTGCTTCATCTAAATAACCATCAGTCGGATCACTGTATAACAAAATGCGTTTTAACATCCATGGATGATTTATTTCACGATAATAGTACTATCAAAATAAAGTATTAAATTTTTTTAAAAAAAAATACTTGTTAAAAATGCAAAAAAAAAAAAAAAGTATGTACGTACGTAACGTACTATTTATACTATACATACGTATTGTACAGTACTTACCTTTCTTTCGAATCGATATCTAAAATTTAAAACCAATTTTCCAAAATTTATAATTTCAATTTTACAAATTTCTTCATAAGGAATAATAATTTCGTATTTCATTTCATTAAAACAAATAGAAATATGATCCGGTACACTTGGATTGAAAAATAATGACATTTGATTTATTTGATTTGTACTAATTGTATAGCGAGCTTTTGTGAATCCATAAATAGTTATTTGACGTAATTGTGCTCGAATTGTGTTGTAGAAACTATGTTTACATTCGGATGGTAAAATGGTTTGTTGTGATGAAGATTCTTGAAAAAAAACATTTGTCCGAGAAAAGATTTATATTAAAATGAATGTTAATTGTTAAGAGTGTCGTAAGAATAAACTTGATATAGATAGTATATATATGATTATTTACTTGATTGACCATGAGTTGAAGCACTAATGACCCATTCGGACTTACTTTCATCATTCCTAGCATATTGATGTTCATTCATGATTAGTTTGTCTTGCGTTGAATTTGAAAAAAAATAGGGCAGAACTAATATATATATATTGAGAATTATCAAATTCATTTTTACAGTATATCTTGTATCTAATGATGACGTGT